CTGAGAAGACATCTGAGCTGGGAGGTGTTTTTCTTTCCATCCAGTCAGCAGGGCCGCTTGGAAATTTCCTACGCCGGCTCTGGCTGTGATGTTTTCATAACACAACGAGCAGCCTGGCAAAGCCCTGGAAATCCATTCGCCAATTAGTGACTTACATCTTTCCTGCAATTCTGCCTCATTAGCCCTTATTAAAAAGAAATAAATTAAATAATAATAAAAAAGAGCCAGGCCCCTGGAGCACCTTGCAGAGTCCTCTCAGCTCCTTGCTGTTTTTCCCCATTGCTCTCCTCATGCCTGGGGGTGCCAGTGCAGTGAACACTGGCCCACAGAGCCCATGGCTCATCCCTTGGGTACCACGTGGCTGCTGCTGTTCCAGGTGATGTTTCCAAGGGGCTGCATCCCTCCAGTGCTGTGGGCAGGACAGCAGGGAGCACCCCGAGGTGCTGCAACATGGGGTGAGCTCCTTGCTGGGTATAATGGCAGATGACTGAATGAACCCATCAACCCACCATGTGGGTGCTCCCAGCTCCCCTGCACCATGATCAGGGGCTTTTCTCCCCAGTTGGGTGCTCCCTGCCTGCTGTTGGAGGGGCCTCTGGTGTGGGTGATGGAGGGAATGCTGACTCAGCAGCTGAAAAGGCTTACACGGCCCTGTGAAAAATGCTGATACAGCATTTTTTTAAAAAAGGTTGACTCAGGAGGTTGGAAAAATGTTGCTCGTTAGTCTGCAAAAAGGTCGACTCATGGGGCTGCAAAAACACCGAGCCACACACAGCCACAGCCACTGTCCCTAAATTTCTGAGGATGCTTGGGTGGCATCCCATCTGACTGCCAAGTTTAAGGGGCATTACATTCCCCCCAGGGTCCGCCCTCCTGCCATCACCTGTGTTTGTAATGAAAGAGGATCAGCAACACCACCCCCAAACTCACTGATTTTTCAGTGGCTCCAATGCCTGGTGCTCATGAAGGAATTGGGAAAGCAAACAGTGATTTCCCAAACTCCTGCAAGATCCAGGTGAGTGGATGCAGCTGAGCCATGTCTTTCCTGAGTCTGCTCGAGTGGTGCATGCCCTCCTCTCCCCCCAGCAGCAAGAGTGGCATCACCAAAGGTGGTTTTCCCTGCTGGCAGAGGAAGCAGTGAGCCATGCAGAACACTGCTGATGGCTCCTGCTCCCTCGGAAGAGCTGTGAAAGGAGAACAGGGAAGGCTCCATTAAGGAGCGCGCGTGTGCTACGTGTATTCCTCCCTCCTCCCAGCCCCAGGAGGGGCTTTCTCTCCAGCCTAGAGGAAATCAGACCTCTGCAAGTCTTTTTTTTTTTTTTTTAAAGCTTCTGTTCAAGATGATGCCCATGGCCTCGGCTGGGAGACAGACACAGCTACACCAAGGCAGCCCAACCACGCTGCAGTTTGGAATTTATTAGAAACAGCTGTCAGTACATCCTTCTAAAACATTACATGTCAATGTGCTTTATTGCAATTTTTTTTTATTGCATTTTTTTTTTGATCTAGAGCAAGTAGGCCCAGGATGCTTAGTGTCTGGGATTTAAAAGCCCAACCATCTAGTAAAAGAAAGTACAGCAAAATTGTAACACACCCGGTGACAAGTACAGTGTTGCATTACTGAGCTAGAAACTACAGGATGACTTGTCAGAAAACACTAACATACACTTGGTTTCCTTATGAAGCAGTTTGTTTCTTTTCTTTAAAAGTTAAACTACATGAATTCCTTTTTTATTTCTTTTCTTCCCCCCACCCCCCTCCCCGACTACACCATAAACGACAGAAGAACAGATTTTACACAAATAACAAACAAGAGTACCAAAGTTACATGCTGGAATTCATCTGGAAAACAAAATAATTCAATAGCTTCTGGAGAAGCAGGTTCTTAACAGATGCAGTTTCCCTTAAAGAAAAAAAGAAGTCAAAGAAAAGCAGAAACATTGATGCAAAGGTTGTACAAAGGAGTGTGCTGTTATTTCAGCCCTCGACACAAGATCAAACACCCACTCATGCTTTACATTGAACCACACCTTGTACAAAGAGTCCACTCACAAAGGGACACGCACCAACACCACCCATTGCACATCAGCTCTGGACAGGGGGCACTGAGGGGCCACTGGAACGTGCAAACAATCACTGCATCTCACAGGAGAGCAAGAGGGGTTTCTTTTGCTAAGCCTTTGCTTGGGACACGGTTGAATGCTTTGTCCCAGAGTAAATAACACCCCAAATCAACTCTGTTTACAAATATAGTAGCAACCCCCCCGAGGAAATCCAGAGTTCAGCATTTCAGAAGCACATATGCAAGATGAATACAATAAACTCCTTTTCGTTTGACAAAAAACCAACCCAATTCTGCCTAAACACGTGGCAGAATGCGCTAACAGTGAGTTTTGTTTTATTTTCAAGGGGCAGTGCCACTTACAGCTAATGCATATAAATGTGTACGTGAATATATTTTACATATATCTATATACATACAGTACATATACACACACACGCACGCGCACACACACACACGGATGATGCAGACCATTACAATCCCATGGTGCAATAAACAGCCAGATATACAAAATTAACAGGTTTTCATCAAACAGATCTTTGCTGGATGTAGAAGTCACTCACGAAAACAAAACAGATTCAAACCCTGACCCAGCTGACTGAATGTGAGCCCCCCCTGCTACCTTGGGGCAGCTCGGGGCTGGCCCCAGCTCCTACAAGCCCCTGCTGGGGGGTGACAGTCACCCTTAGAGACCTTTTCTTTTGTCTTTGGATGCAGGAACTTTCTCCAAACGATCCCGAGCCTCTTGCTACAAGCACTTGGAGAGTGCATGGCAGCGGTGCTGCTGGACACAGGGAATGTCCCTCCCCTCATTTGCCAATGCCAATCTCACAGAAGCAATCCCAAGGGAAGGCGGTGGAGGGGGCATCAAATTAAAGCTGCTTTCTCTAATACAGGTTGATCAACAAAGTGGGTTTTTTTCTACCAAAAAGGGCCCGTCTCACTTTTTTTTTTCCTTGCCTCTGAAGCTCATATTACATTTTTTAAAGGCAAACTTTAGAACAAATGGTGAGTCTAGTCATAAAATAAGGTGAGTCTATGCCAAAAGCAATTTTAAAAATGCAAATTCTGCATTAATTGTATGGAGCCAGCCCCAAAGACCAGCACTTCAAGCACTGTCATCATCTAAACAGTTAACAAGCTAAAGCTCCCAATCTGCCCCTTTGAACAAACAGGAAGGAACTGAAAAGATTTCAAGAGAGATTTTTCCCCCCCCTCATTCGGTGGAAAGTATTTCTGCCCACAGAATGCAAGATTCACAAAAATGTTGGCCAAACTTCACGTAACCCCGTCCAAAGCTGCTGCTCACGCAGGGCTGAACTGGCCCAGCCTCCCGAGGAACAGGCCAGCTCTTCTTTGGGCTGGTCCTTCCCTTCTCCCAGTGCCAAGGGAAACAAGGGGATCAGCAGTGCAAGCTCCCTTCCCATACAGAAAGGGCAGCAGCTCCTCAAGGACTTGTACCAATTCCCTAAACCTCTCCTGCATGTGCATTTAAGGAGATTACAACTGGTTATTCCAAAGGGAAGGGTCTGCTCTGGCATCTCCTCTTATTTCATGGTTCCAGGCAGAGGTTTCTGGTTCATGGTCTGTCTCCTGCTTCATCAAACTACAACCAGAGGGATGCTTTAGGGTGCTGATCCTTCCTCTCCACTAAAGCTATTTGCTTTGAATGCTGAATTTGAGCAAGCCTGACCCCCTCCCCTCACAGCATTTTTGTTCTTCGGGAATGTTATTTTGATTCTGCTATTGCAAAAGCAGAGATTGCAAATCAACCATAAGGAAACTACATCTAAGGAAACTTGATTTTAAACATGGTCTAAACAAAACAACCCCAAACCCATCATAGTGCTTTGTAAAACTGCATTTTGAACCTGTCTGTCTCTTACCCCTTCTGATCCACAAGCAGTACCTGTTTCATGTCTGCACAATGCAGCAAGCATACAAGACTCACTAACATTTCAGATTTTTATTCCCTGTTAGTGTAACAAAAAATAAAAAAATAAACAGACATTCAAAAACAGAAGCGAGATTGTTCAAGTACCAAATAAGGGGCTTTTCCAAACTTAAAGTGTGACACTCCTATAGCAATTCTGCTGTTTTAAACAGCCACAGCGTTCAGGTACAGACATGGTGCCACCTAAGCCTGCAGAGAGCCCAGGATTTGGGGCAACCAAGACCCTCATCCTTCTCCTCTCCTCCCCAAAACAGCACTAAGTGTCAACATTCATTTCCACAGTCCCATCACAGTTGCCTGGCTTTGCAAGGGAAAAACTTTGATGTTTGCCCTGCTGTGACTAGAATTCAGCTGTGATTAAATGCAAGTTTTTCCCTGGGAATGGCTTTTGGTTGTGGAGGTCTTGCTAACACTAGTGTCAGCGAGAAAAGAATCAGGCCCATCACATTAAATGGAAAACTTCTTGAACATCTGCCACCTCAAGAGAGATGAGTGTGGAAAGAGCATTTTATTTTTGGCATAAGACAAGGGGCTATACTGAATACAACTCTAGATTGCAACTACCAATGGTGCAAAGCAGCAACTCACTTACTGCTGATGAGAATGAAATAAAAACCCCCAAAACTAGAGCACTCCAGTATCAGAAGGTGGACAATTGCACATTACTGCTTCACACATTAGTGAAGCATCTGTTGGGATATCCTTCTTGTTTCTAGGTTGGTTCTTCCCATGCTCAGATTACTTGTAATCAACAAACAAACTAATGGGAAAAGATTTATAAGTTACTAACTTCAAAAACATGGCACTCGTGGCTGATAAAATGGGGCCAATGGCAACTGTGGAAGCAGACCTGATTTCCATCCATACCAACACAAAATACTGAAACACCCCTAATTCCCTGCAAATATACTTCAAAACAGGTTAGAAGAAACTGTGCATATTTGAGTTTCAACATCCCCTCCCCCCTCCCCCATTTAACACTGTGCAAAAGTTATTTATTCAACTCTACATATATATTTAATACAACATGGGTCAGTGAGATCAATGTTCCTTTAACTGCAGCCTGGTACCAGATGGCTGCTACGACAGCGAGGCTACTTCCCCCTTTCCTCCTGATGTTCTGACTCTTAAAATTAAAACCTTCTCACATCTTACTGTTTTAAAAGAACTTGAGTTTCTTTGTTTTGCCTCTTTGTTCACATTTCCTGTATTTGTTTCAAGCTTAACAGCTGCTTTTCATCCTGGGGTGTAATCCTGCACCTCACAGGCCCATTTCTGATTTCTCAGTCATGCAAGTGTAGAGCAGCTCCTGGAAGCTGTGGGTTCTCTCACAGGTCTAATGCTACTGAGCAAACAGAATTAGGCCAAGCACAATGAGAGGTGCAGGACCAAGCCCTTGCCCCATAGATCACACCAGCTACACCTGTCAGTTGATTTTATAACAATTTTCATTTTCTCTATGAGTGCAAAATAGTTGCAGAAAGAGTCTGTGCAATAGCACGTGCGAGTCAATGGGGAACCATGGCAGCAGCTGGGACTTCAGGTGCCTAAACCAACACAGGGAGAGACAGTGACAAAACAGCCTCAGGAGACTGCTCAAATAATGGAACCAGTACAAGGAATGCAGGCTTGGTCTGCCCATAGCCCTGCTCCGAAGGTTTGGGCAAAACAGAACTTCAAAGAACACTTCAGGATGGCTTATTGGCCCTGGCTCCATCATTCACAGCAAATACATCACCTGTGATCAGCAAAAAGAGCTCGGGGAGCAAAGGGCCAAGAGTCCCAACTCACTCACACCACGATAAAGCCAAGCTACCTTCACAGATGCTAATGGAATTACACTGTATTTACCTTGGCAGAGCCAGAGCTGGAGCCTGGACCAGACCTCACAGGATCAATCAGATTCCACTACAGAGAGACTTCAGACAGCCCTGCTCTGCTATCCTGCTGCTGTCAGGACTGCAAGGGTGTGCCAGGATTTATGAGCCTGGAAGTAGACTTGTGCCTGTTTAAAACAAATCTGAGCCCTACCTGAAATTGGGGCAGACCTGAAATTGGGGCAGATGTGAAACACTTTGGCCAGGTTACCTCTGTTACAAAAGCAGGGATCAGAAATATGGGTCTCATCAGCCTCAAATGTTAACACTGTCAGTAAGAGAGTGCAGAGAGATCACAAGGGCAGGGAAAATTCAGACACCCCTCTCACACAGGTTATTCTGCAGGCATGAGGCACCTGGCTATCATTTGTGCCTTTGAACTGATTTCTTTCATTGAGCATTTGGTCTCAGCCCAGCATCAAGGGAATGCTAGATGCCTGAGAGGTGTGAGAATGGCAGCTGTATAGCTACCAGATTAGAACTGCAAATTAGCCAAGAAAAAATTCCATGTCCACAGACCACTGAGGAAACCATTCAAGAGTTCCACTAACAGCAAAGGCTATGTCTCATTTTTCCTTTTTTCCTGGGGAAGTAGAAGGGACACACAAACAGATGTGGTTCATTTTGACATAGCAGCTTATGTGAATTTTATTCTTCTCTCACACAGTTTTGAGATTTAATTAAGCCTTGTAGGGTATTATTTAAATGAGAAAAGTGGCACCTACAGAATTCCTTGCCTGAAGATTGCACTCTGGCCAATTAGGAAGTATCTGGGATGCGTCAGGGTCATTAGTGCAAAATAAAAAATGTCATGGCATGCCAGGCAACCAGACTACCCTTCCTGCAATGGCTGTCAGTGCTCCAGCCTTGTCACTTCCCTACTTGTGAATTCAAGACATTCAGTGAAATAATACTTCTAGTGTAAACAATATACATCAACAAGCCTGGCACTACTGCCCAGGCATTACAGAAAAAAGCCATTGGAACAGGAAATCAGCCCCAGGGTCAGAAACAGGTCTCCAGCATTCTCAGACCTGCATGACTGTCTGCTTCCTGTCCTGCACAATGGGTGCATTGCAAGGGAAACGCTTCCAGTAATGGGAACAAAAGTAACTTTCAAGGTTGCACGCTGAACAATTACTTTGCCAGTTGTGCTTTGATGCCAAGTGGTTCAGTTTGCCAAACTTAGCTCTTTTTCATTTTAGAAGCTTAAGGAATGGAAATAAGCTGCTTTGTACACTTTCCAGGGAGGGGATTTATTTGATGATTTGCTGTAGTTGATGAAGCCCAGGACTACCCGCTCCAGTATTTGACAGCAGCCCTTGCCAAAGGATGGTACCAGACATCCAGTAACTGAGGAGTATGGCTCTCATCCCTTCCTGTGTTTTGCATCATGTCTAAAATAACTACAAGGGAATTTAGATTATACCAGAGTAAAATCTTGCTTGGCTGCAGTGGTGTGAGAGTTCAGAACCCAGCTTGCAAAGAACAAATCAGAGGAGATCTAGGATTAGCATGCTCACTTCTTACAACTGGGAGCAACTATACCCCACCAAAGAACTGGGTACAATAAGCCATCCAGGAGCATTTGATTACACCGACCTCTTCTGTACCAAAATCAAGTGTTACAAGAGTCTGTCACTGTTCAGCAAGAGACCTGCAGCAGGTCAGTGCAAGCTTCATTCTGGTTTACATTCTGAAGCACAGCATCATTAAAACTCTGGAAACAGAATCCCAAGCTGAGGAACAGGAGGGGGAGTGAAGAAAGAGGAGAGTGAGCAATTACATCAGATCAGACAAATTTAGTGTTTTGAAGCCAGACAATGTTTAGTTTTCCTTTTATTTGTTTCAAGTTTTGGTGCAGAAAGTATGTGCGGATGCTAACGCAACCTCCCCTGTAAGTGCTCGATCTAGCAACGAACAAAGTTTTGGCATGTTCAGTTTGGTTATGTTTCCTTTAAGCGAAGACCTGTAGTGCCATTGAAACCAAAACTTCGTTACTGTTGGCAAAAAAATAAAGCAACTTTCCTTTTACAAGCATTTTTCCATTTAAATAAAAACCTGAAGCTTTCCCATAATTCCTTTGGTCTTCTCTCACCAAATTCCACGCTACCTCAAGACAAGCCCTCTTTTGGAAGTCCTGCTGAATCGCAGTGAAGCTGCTAAAATTAGCAGAGAAGAATTGCTGTGGCAGAGTTTCCCCCTAGTTTGTTGGGAGTTTAAGACTGAAAGACATTACCAGTGCCTCGGGTAGAGGCTTCAAATTGTGTCTACTAGAACAAGAGAAAACAAAATCCAATTAGAAGTTCCACTGAAGGTGCCTGGCAAAAAATCATCTCCATAAAATGATGCTCTGCTTCCAGTATTTTCATATGCGTTGCGTTGAGTTTATTCCCCTCATAAGGAAACAAAAGTATCGGTGTAAAAGCACAGCTGAGCTTTTAAGGTAGCACCAGGACACCTACACCCAAGTTGTCGTCTTGTTGCTGCTAGGCCTCTTTTTGATTCACATTCACAGAATCACTTCTTGTGCAAAACAAGCAGTCTAAGGAGAAAGAATGCCCTCCGAGTTCTAATAAAAATCGTAGAAAAGAATCCAAGATAAGCCAACACTTTCCTCCTCCCCAAAATTTACCTGCAGAGAGAGGGGGGCATCTGTGCGTAGACAGGATAGGCAAGCCTGACATTTAGGGAATCATTGTGTTGGACAAGGGATGTCTGCTGGTAATGAAGAACCAAATCCTTAAGTGTGCTGTACAGGTTGTACGGTTCTGCAAACCCATAACCTCTTGGAGTGCTGTAGATCACACAGTGTTTCACCTCTCCATCAGCTCTGCAAGGAAAGGAAAGAGGAGAGTTTAACATAAAAGGACAAACCCAAAGTGACAGTCTATTAACAATTAACTAATGCAGCATCTCCGCCAGTCACTGAATTACATAATGGAAGACCCAGTAGATGCAAGTGGAGGAGATTAATATAGTCTGTGAAGAAACAGGGCTTCAGGGCATGTGATTAAACACTCTTGCATAATAATCCACATAAGAGGGCTCTTCCACCCCAGCAGTACAATTCCCTACTGCATTGTTGTCCAAATGGTCCTTGGGAAAAAAGTCAATAACTGAACCAGGAAGATAAGCACCCGAAGTCAGCAATGACTTTGTGCTCAACTCACCTAGAAACCTTTCCACTAAGCAAAGAAACCAAAACCCACAAATTATCAGGACCTACAAAGTATTCCATGAAACACAGGGGCTAACCTTCCATGTGCATTTTTTAATGTTAAGCATGGGACAGGTTCAAGCTGATTCATTATCTGAAGCCATAGTGACCGAGTCTCTAACTTGGCAAAGCAGCTACTGGAGCACAGTGATTCCAAAGCAGCCAGAAAAATTTATCTGCCAGAAAGATCAGGTATTATGTAATCCCTGTATTGGAGCCTGTTACAATCCCAGTCACATGTAGGAACAGGTTACTTTGTGCCACCCCTTTTTGAGCCTGTAGCATGATCCCAACCAAACAAAAGCATCTGATGAACCCAACATTTGAGTGACTGTAATGAACAGTGGAATGTTCATTACATCAACAGTAATGGAACACAGCAGATACTACAGTCTTCAGTTACCTTGAGGTGCTAAACCTTCATATATTCATTTCTCAGACTTGTGCTCAGAAGCAATTAACCTCATGTGAAATAAATCAGTGAAAGCCATTTTGGACTCCAGGACAAGCTTGAAGGATTTTTAGATAATGGAGTTGGAGTATTTCTGACCTTCATTACACCAGCATAAAATGAAGTGAAATACAAGAAATCAATGCAAGGCTGTGTGAATGTCATCAAAGCTACTGCTCACAAATAATCCTCTGAAGCATCACCATTACCTTACACATACAAGACAAAGATCTAGAGTTGGGCATGTCTGAAAATGAGAATGGAGGATGTCACACCTTTATAGCCCTGCTTTAGTTCTTCCCATGTGTCCCTTAGCACAGAAGAATATGGGAGAATTAGGCCCTAACTTAGCCCTTACTACAGAGCTTCAAGTTGGGATATTTCAGACCTTTGTACTAACAACTGTGGGAAGTGAAGAGAGGCTGCAGGACTACAGCTATTGCACATTCAAAGCACATTTTTGTTACAAAGCTTTTACCATGCCAGTTTTCCTGCAAACATGCAACACATTCCAATGGGTAGGCCTAAGCTAGGCCTGGCTTTTGTTCTCCAAAATAAAGAGCTTTGGTAGAGATTTATGAATCGAGTAGTTGGAACAAAAAGGAAAACAGACTTACACCACAGAACAAGCATAACATCCTTTCTTGCTACTCTCGCGAATTAAAAATGCTCCGTCAGGTTTCCCACAGAGCAAGTCTTCTGCTTGGACACGGTTGAGATCCCCGACAAACCAAGTTTTCTCATCATGATGTGGCAGGTTTTCATCTTCTTCATTCACAAAGTATGTGCTGAGAGGATACATTTGTTAACCAGTGATCAGTAAAGGAGTTAATAAGCAGAGTTGTTTTCACAGAAATCATACAAAGAAATACCAATTGCCCAAATTGGGAGGTTGGGCTCCTAACAAACATATATTAAAGGCTTCAAATTAGATCTTAATTTTAATCCTACATGTTTCAGCAGAGTTGCTGCCTCACATGACATCACATGACTCCAGTCTTTTATTGAGAAACTGGTAGTTTTTGTTACCAATCCCACAAGAGAAAACACTTAGTAATGGAACACTTCTCAATAAAATCATATGTATAGTGACACTTACTCATCAATATTTTCATTTTTGATCCCCAGCCAGTCATTTATTCGCTTCTGTCTCACCCCCTTGTGATTGAGCCATCTGCCAGAAGAAGAGAACATTTATACATTAGAGCACATGTATGGGTCTTCTTAGTGAGCAAGCTGAAGCTCAGACACAGGAGAAACAGTCTGTGTCCAGCCCAGGGACATTAGAAGCTGGATAACTGTGGTGAAATCAAATGTAGGTATAAGCAATATAACAGAAAAAAAAGTACTACCATCTGTTGTTTTAGCAACCACAGGTTTTGTTTATAACTAATTTTTCTTAAATTCTTTATTTACAGGAGATGCAGATTGTGCACCTAGTTGTGGCTGGCTCTTTAAATAATGAAGTCATGAAGAAGCCAACCAGCTCTCAGACATCCACTGCCAGACTGTAGCACCTTAACATCAACAGAACTTTGGTTATGAAAAGAAAATTAAACTCTCATTATCCTGATGGAAACAGCCATTAATCAGATTCATCACAGACACTATTCTGAGGTATGGGTCAGGCTTACTTACACAAGATACTGATCTCTGATTTTGCGGAGCTGAATTAGGTCAGGCTTGATGCTGTTCATTTTCTTATCAGTCTCCCTGTTGTCCAGAGCTTGTTTCTTCAAGTCTTGTTCCAGGCGCATTTTACTGTCATGGATCTCACCCAGGCGTGATTTTAATTTTTCATAGTTCATCATTATCCTGCAAATGAGTATGAGAGAAGAGGTTAAACCAGCCCAGAAGGACTGAACCTACTGGTAGGACAGTACAGAAGAGTATCACAGAACTGCCATAACAGTAACTCCTCCCTTGACCTCATCCTTACATGAAAATTACTGTATGAGTGACAGGAAAGACCTCTTGTCAGAGGGCTTGCAACCTTCAGTTTACCTTAATATATTTCCTTCTGGTAGATATGCAGGAAGAAATTCTCTGCAGGAAGCTAAGCTAGAACAGATTCCTCCCTCACTGTCAGATTCAGTTTTTGTTGTATCAATTATGCAAGCCCACTACAGGCATCAGCAATAGCAAGATTTCAAATGCAAACTTCAATTACTATCAAGAGCTACAAGGAAATAATGCTGCCTGTCTCTTCATTCAAGATTAGTTAGCAGATTTTGTGTGACTCAGGAAAATTACATCTTTTGCTTCTTAATTGTCTTTACTCAGAACAAAGCACCTCAAGTGCATAGTGAGATTGTTACAGGTAACTGTTCCTGGTCCAAAAACCTCATTAATGTGGTTCATAAAGCACTATGTCAAGTGAGGCATTATACCTGGCCTTTTCTTCGAAGGCCCAGATCCACCTTTTTCTGCTAATACCCTCTTGGAAGGGCAGTTTCAAACAATGCACTCACTGAATTTGTTAGATGACAGCTACTAAACAGTGATCTCTGAAAGTGACTAAAACCAACTATGGACAATGAGATTTACCAGATTTATGTACATTTCACAGTTTGCAAGTACAGAGTTCTCTAAATTATATTCTGAGCAAATCCAAATAGAAATGGGATAAACAAATTAAACCATATTTCCTGTTCTTTCCTGGTCCTCATCCCAGTATCTTGATTTACTGAAGTTAAGAGAGGATAATCCAGAGATTTCCCAGCTCTGCAATTCTTTGAGAGAAGAGAGCTTTACTGAAGGCTGAGATACCTTGAGGGAAGGTCTCAGAAACACTGAGCTTACAAAGTGGCTTATATGATTTATATGATGCTGTAATGGCAGTGTCAGTGTGGACACCACTGTTTCCAGGTAAGCAAACAGAACCTGAGAGCTCACCGCTCAATTTCTTTGTCGTTGCCCTCCCTGCGGAATCGCTCGATGTATTCTTTGCTGTATCGCTCTTGTGAGTGGCACTGCTCCTCAAATATCTTAATTGTTTCATTAAATGCTTCGATTGCAGTTCTCTTCATCTGAATTTCCTGTGTGAGGAAAGAGTCCTTCATCATTTGTTCATAATACAGATGACAATGCAAGACTCGATTACGTTCCCTAAACTGACTGAGAAGATGATACTTTTCCCCCCCACTTAGTTAAAATAGGATTAATCAGCTTTAAATTCAGTCAAATGTCTGAGTAGGGTCAGGAAAGAACCAGGCAGACTTACTCCCTGTAAGTCTACCCTCCTCCCCTACATGATGCTCTCTATTAGGCTGCAAACCCATCAAACATTTTAGTCATATTTTCCATCTTAGTTTGCAGGAAGACTGCCAGCAAACCTCCTCCCCATACATGAACTATCTTATTTTTCAAGAAGCAGTCCAAATACTGTATTCACACTTCCTTAATGCATAATATCTGGTAACTGACTTGCACATGATTTCACAAAAAACCTGGACAAATCCCGCTACAACTCTCACTGCAGCATGTGGCAGCTGGAAACACTCAGCAGTATAAAGCTTCTAAGTGTTGGCCTTCTCCACAGCTTTTCCTTTATACTAAAAAGTTCAGCTCCTCTTTGCCCCACACCATACCTCTAGGACTATCAGCAACAAGCAACATTCACTGTTTCCATCAAATATGAAACTTCTTGCTGTATTCCACAATTTACTAAGATTTTTTTCTTTATATTGCCTTTATTAGCCTTAACAGGATATAGAAAAAATTCTTTGCTTTTTAAATAACAATAAACACACTCTACAAAGAGCCAAAGCAGTACCAACCTGGGATGTTCTGGTATATTCTTCATACAATTTGTCATACTCTTTGCTCTTTTCCTGATACTGAGCATGGTATTCTTGAAGCTTTTTACCTACTGCATCTATATTATCTTCTTTCACCAACTGATCCTGCACATACAAAGAGCTGTTAAGTCTTCAAGCAAAGCAGCTTTTCCTTAAGAGTATTCATTTGTCCACTTATGCATATTTGCATTTTACAGACATTAGCGTCATGTTTTATAATCCAGTTTCTAGAGACCACTGTGTCTAAATCTGCCTTCCTTAGTGAAACGTGTTCCACAGTTTACAGACACAAGGAACTGGAACTATGGGACACCAAGGGCCATGCCAAAATCCTAAACTTCCAAAAACACACCACACCTTATTTTCAGGATTGCTATCCTCAGTTCAAGAAAGAAGGAAGCAAATTGCTTAGAAACTTCAGTTAAAGAAAAGAGTTTGGGGTTTTTTTCACTCTTCTAAAAAGCTCTGCAGTTCTTTTTCCTCAATGCAAAAATGTGGTTTGGGCTACAGAATAAAAGTTTAAAAAATACTCTTGAAAAATTTAGATGGCTATGCACAGAGGGAACAGCTGCACAGCTCATATGGGCTGCACTGGCGACAACAGTGCTCAGGGGGTTCACCAGGGTCCATGGAGAAATTAAAAAGTTTCTCAGAGGTTCAACTCTGCTGCCTGTCAGGGTTTAAATTCTCTGTTGGACTCAGAGGGAGACTGGAAACCTGATAAAATGTAGCAGCTTAGATGGTTGGACAATTTGGAAGATGCAACTAAGGCCAAATATGAAAGTTTTGGGGAAAAAAAAAGTCCTGTTTTCAAAAAACCAACCAACCAAAACAAATAAAAACACACACAAAAATAAACCACCAATAAAAAAAAAAATTATACACATCTGCAATTTTTTTCTGGTCTGCACTAAAAGCCATTGGGGTCTGCTGAAGCTCTTACCTGCTGGTACCTGGACACAGGATACATCAACTTCACGTCGAGCTTGGGGTTGTACTGAGCAAGGGACTCATTGCGGTAGTGGTTAATGAGCTCCACCACGGAATTAAATGTCAGCGGATCAGAAAAGCCGTATTTTCCATCCCGATGGTAGATCTTTATCAGTTTGTTGTTGCCACCCTTCCTGTAAAGTACAGTCATTCAGAGGTTTTGCTGTGTCCCTCCCATCCCTGATCAGCACTAAGGCTGATGACACCAGTGAAATTCCTGGGCGAGTGGCTCCCACACTGCACACCTTCACAGTGATTCTTTACACAGCAGTAGTATTAAGTAGTTTAAGAGTCAATACACACAGAATTATCATCAGATTATTTGAACAGGAACAAAGCCCAAAGTAAATCTCTTCCTATGTGTTCATTCTGGAGCCAGCTTATGGTATTTAAGTCCTAGCTTTGCCAGAAGTTTTGCAAGGGAAAAGGAGAATTTTGAAGGCTGAATAAAGGAGCTCTAAGAAAACCCAAACCCATAATTTCCTGCAATTCAGGGTCACTAATAGTATACAACAGAATACAGATTTATACAATTACTAATGAATCTTTTTGAGTTATGTGTGCTAATACAGGATACATGAATTTACAATATCCTTTGAGAATTACAAGATGGTTGTACATGCTGTTACCCAGATTTATATAGTCTAGTGGTTTCCCCAAATATAGTTCTGATCTTTTTTCCTTTTTTTTCCAACAACTGACTGTTTAGACACTGTTCTGTCCTTCTCCTGTACTTACAATTTTGCCTCCTAAAGACAAAAATTCAGTAGAATTCAGTAAAATAACCAAATCATGCCAAACCTTGGCACATAGCCTGTGAACTTGGAGGCAGAAGTTAAAGCAGAATTTTAACTACACCCTTGGGATCAAACCAACCACTAAGGCAATGGAATTTCAAGGCAGGATCAAGTACCTGCGTATCACAGTAACTCCCAAGGGTGTGCTACAAAGGCTGTGGCTTCTGTGCCTCACCTGCCTGTCCCTAACAATCAACCTTGGGAGCCTGTCAGAGGCAAGTGGCAGGGCAGGCTGGGCAAGGCACCAGAGGCAGTCACATGAGGTTTCTGCCTAACTGCAGCAGACAGGGCTGGGGCAGCTCTGGGAAACCTGCCACGTGCAGACATGAAGAAAAGAACATGGCTACAAATCAATATTCCCTAAACTTTGGATCAGAAAGCACAAAATACTCTTTTTACCAAGACATTGTGTTCAGTTCTCCAGAGCTGCATGCTGATGAGGTATTCAACACTCTCCCATTAATCAAAGGCCTGGTTTACAAACACCTTTTTTATCTTAGCAGTTCTGAAACCATGAAGCACTCCTGAGCAGCTCTCCTCCCTGAGTCCCATCTCATCCACACAGAGATCCTCAGGGTAGTACTTAGTGAGGCACAGGACTCAGTGCACAGAGCAGAACTGACTGTCAGACCTGGCTCTTTATTTGCTTGTTCTGTGATGTGCAGAACTGGGAACATCTCTCAGCTTGAGCCACATGAGCTTTACACAGCCAGGGCTGTCACTAGAATGGCAGCAGCTCCTCAGGGCTTTGCTGAGGGGACCACAAGTGCTCAGTGCTCACCTCAGTGTCAGAGTGTAGTCTCCCTGCATCTTGGTCGATGCGTCGCGCACCAGGAATGTTCCATCTGGCATGTCTCGTAATTTGTCATTGACTTCTTCCCTGGAGAATGGAAAGGGAGGCAAAATTAGAAGTGCTAAGGACATGACCACATTTGCCACAGGTGAAACATCTGACCCAGCAACACCAATGTCTGCAGAGTTTGATCTCTGTCATGCTCAGGCTCTCCAGTTTTTTAGGCCACCTAAAGCAAGCCTGAGCTTGTGTAGCTGTACTAAAGAAAAGTAGCTGCAGTCAACTGCCACTTAGGAAGGAGTCTCTGTTTAAACAACAGTGGCAGCTGTGACTCAGTTCACAACCTTTCCCTTTAATCTGTTCAGGTTTTAAAGTCCACACTGGAACAGGTGCCCTTTGAGAAGCCAGTCTTGACCTCCTAAGACATGGTCTCTAGAATCACAGCTCAAAGGTGCCTAGAGTTTAGCACAGTTTTAGTCTCAAGAGGCTCATTATTGGCTTAACTCTGATCTTATTTACAGCCCTTTTAAACCACTACAACCTTGCTACTCGCAGTGCAACTTTTCCTTATTTACACCTGAGGCAGAAGGATACTCAGTCCAGAGCTTTAAGCTAAACCAAGAAATCTTTTAGTGAAAGTGAGTACCTGTAGGCATTAAGAAAATTATTTCAGCTGAAGAGATATGCATCTTGCTTATGAGCATTTCACCCAGATTATGTATGTCACTTTATAACAGCTCCTTCAAAGGTTTTGGAAGCCCTAAGCACTTTTTAATACAATAATTTGGAAACTAAAGTTTCTCAAGTAGCCTCAATATTCTTTAGGTGCTGTAGGAAGCCTAGCTAAATCTTACAAAGAAAAATCAACAGCAGTTTTTTTTGTTCAAATACTAAGGAACAAAAGTATTCAAAAGAATAACAAAAGAATAGCCTTAGCTTTGATTTAGCTACCTGAAAACTATTTTGTTAGTAAAACTGACTCCTACTGAGTATCACATGCTCCTATCCATTTACTCCTCTCAGACCATTTTACAGATTGGACCCAGTTAACTCCTTTTTGAATGGACAGATAATGACCTGCAGGTTTGGGCCTGCAAGCTGCACCCTGGAACTCATGACAGAATTTTCAGCACAAGTTCTTGACTGAAGAACACTGTTCCTGCCCTGCTAGCCTGATGCAGCCTGTACCTGCTGGCTGCCAAACCAGGGTCATAAACAATTCCATCTTTACATAAGCGTGTATCAAGTTTAAATCTAATAAAGCCACTCCAATGCGATTTGCAGTGCATTAGCTCCTGCCATCGTGGGCACTGGTAATTGAGGGACAAATCCACAGTCAATAAACTGATACCAATATTGAGCAGTTTTAAACAAACTGTGCTTAGTGGGTTTTGTGATCAGGTTTTGCCACTCTGCTTCAGCTTAAAATTAACAGAAAAATATCTCTGCCAAGGCTCTTCAAAAGCAAGATCTACAAGGGTTGGCTTTATAAAAAGATAAGGGTGGTACAATAAAGATATGAAAACTTTATCTCCCTTCTCAGAATGCCAGTGAGCTCATGTGGCAAACACACTCTTCATGCCTCTATCTGCCTAAGTGCTTCAAAGTACTATGTGCACAAGTTTGAGCAATTCCTGATCACACTCCCAGCACACTCGCCTGTCCTCTTACAGCTCCAAATTCTAGACTCTTCAGAGGTGCCTTAAGAGGGTAAGAGATGACTGAACATTTCAGTTCTTTTATGCAATTAAGTATATAAAAAAAGGTCTTTCATTTTCTGAACCTAGCCCAAGCAATCTATTTTCTCAAGTGCATAAAGAAGGTTTTTCTTAAGAGGCAAAACTTATATTGTTTGGTATGTGTCTCTATCATCTGCTCAGTATAGCTGGATGATGGTTAGCATTTGTAAGAGCTATTTTTCATATCACTATGTAAGAGAAATTAATACAGCTGAAATTTTAAACAAACGTTCAAGAAACCAAAAATAAGAGTGCAACTCCTTTTATCCTGAAATATTATTTTTATACTGAAATTATGTTGAACTGCATGCATTCCAGGATTGCATGCTTATAACTCTTTATTAAATATCAGATTCAGAAGCATTTATCTTCTTTTTAAAGACTGTATATGTGGGCAAATTTAGAAACTCAAAAATTACAGTCACCAAGACCGCCAATATCTGCACCAGAAGAGCAACAACTTAAATATCCTGAATCTAGCTGAATACTTTCATTTAGGTGCTTTGTCAAGCATGGTCCTAAAGCATTCCCTTCTCCAGTAAAATGCTGCCTAAAATAGATATGCTCTTTTTGTCTTGAAGTCTAGCAGGCTTATCCTACTTTTAACAATATATATTAATACCTTTTTAATTAATATATTCTAGCAATATTGCTTACCTTGAGATGTCCCCCCAGTACCACTCTGCTTCCTGCAGAGAGAAACTGGAATTGTCCTTTATTCCATTTGTATTGACTGGAGTCATTGGTTTGGGGGGCTTTGGAGGAAGAGCTGAAAAAGAAAAACAGATTAACAGAAGGTAAACAGGAGAAAATAATCACTAAACTGTTAATGAAATACTACAGAAAAAAAAAATAAAACAAGAGAAAATGTGCATCTTGAACTCAGCTTTCAATCTCTCTCAAACCAAATGGAACTTGTAATCTTAAAGGAAGTCTGAAGTCAACTGTTCCAGTGTGATCTGAGATTTTTTAGTATCAAATGCTTGAGGGAGGGGAAAAGTAAGGAGTATGAGGAAATGTGAGTTTTTGTTAAAAGAAGACTGGTGCAGGCACGACTACAAGGGCAGGTGCCGCCTAAAGCTCCACACAAATGACAAAGGTGTATTGTGTTTGAAAGCCACAGCCTGGAGAGCACTGGGCACCACTATGGAAAAACTCCATTTACTCAGGCATCAGCAGCCCTGAAGCCAGCCCACAAGAGCAAACAGGTGAACTCTTCAGAGGGAAAAACACTGCTAGAGAGCAGTGGCTGGGCAGGGCTGTATCTGTCACACACCCAAGGTTCATGTTTTACCTTGGGTTTGTCATTTAGGTTTCTGTTTGGAACAAAGACTGTGACTCTTTGAGTACTACAGGACAGGAGGTGATAAGGGAAGGGGACAGGGGACGATAGGTAACTGTTAGAGTGCCTGCATTGCTTTGCTGAAGTGCAAGCTGAAGTGTTTACCACAGGAGATGGGATGCTACAGATGCCCAACAGACAGGCAGAACTGGTGCACGCCTGCCCAGAATTCCCCTATCCCAAATCCATGGCAAACAGGCTTTTACTTCCATTCTCAAAATAGGTTACAAATATAAGGGCATACAAGATACCAAAGCTGTTTCTGTTTGGCCAGTTGTTGCTCGAACAACTTTATCATGAACCTGACTGTAAGCCCTGAATCAGTTATTTCAGCAGCCACAGGCACGTTCATGTACTGGGAGAGACTGGTCTGTGAGCAGAAATGTATTATACATTTTCTTTTGGAAAGGTGTCCTGAATGCTCTCCCCTGTTTTGCAAAGACTGGACGCTTCACCAGGAACATTGCTACCGAAAAAGAGCATTTTTTAAGGCATTTCAAGAGAGTGTTTTACAGAGGGACAGGTCACATTCTCATTCAGAGCAAGAAAGCAGCTCCACACATTGATTTGCTGCTAGCAGGTTTCTAAGTCAGACCCTGAACATCTGCTCGCAGCCCTGTGCCCTCGCCATCAGATTACACAAGCACCAGCGAGCAGTGACACAGTGACAACAGCCATCTTTCAGATGCACAATCCCCAGGTACACACAGGAACACAAATAAAGGCAGCAGAAAGAAGATTTTGATCTCCAGCTTGAGCACGGAATGGCTCAGCACTGAGAGGTGTGCTACTTGGCACCATGCAGCTGCTCACCTCCGAGCCACACCTCCCACATGAAAGAAGAGAAAACAGGCTTCCAACTGCAGCTCCAAATACCATTTCATGCTGAATATCCAACACAGTAACTTCACTGTTCTCTGACAAACCAGTAGATGCTTTAATTGAGCCAATCTAAACTAAATCTGAACCTTGACCCAGACGTTTGCACCCTGGGGTTGCTGACCAAACACCTGATTCAGATAGCAGCATTCATTCTGCGGGACCGAGCATTAAACCCTAGCATACAGGTTCTTTTTATGGGGTGAGCTGGGAACTTTCAGGTGTGCACACATCTAGTGAGGCAATAACAGGTCTTGTTGTAAAAGGAAGGTGAAAACCTCCAGATTCAGTGAAGCAGCTTCCTGGTTAGGAAGTTTCAGTTATTCCTAGCTTAACTACTACAGTTGTTTGTGTAGTGCACAAGTATTTGCACAAAGCACTATTGAGAGTAAGACATGGCTCCAACCATACTTTGCTGGAAGCTCCCAGCCCCATCCAGGGTCAAAGGAACACATATCCAGGCTAAGCCTGTGGAATCAATTGCATTGATTGTGCTGTTCCATCTCCCCCTTTCAAAGTTCCTGAATTAAGAAATGCCATCAGGTCCTCCCTGCTCCCAACATCACATCTGGGACAGGACAGCTACAGCAGCTCTGAGTCTCATCAGTGTCACAGTAAATCTGAGGTCAGAAAACCTGTAGATTCACTCCAGAATCTTTTGTAGGCTCTGAGTCATCAAAAAGCATATTAGGTTTTACATAAAAAACACACAAGCGTGGAGAGGGTTCTTAGAAAACTCCACCAGCACCTGCAATTATTTCAAAGGGACCTTCAAATTAAGGCCTGGACATATCGACAACTTCAAGGTATTTTACAGTGCCTGTTTTACACTGGTAGTAGGGGCTTTCCAGAAAGGGCTTTCAAGTGCTCTCTAGAACACTTAAATACTTCTCTAGCCCTCCTTGTAAGATTAAGTCTTGCTCCTTTTTGCACTGTGGGATTATTTGGCAGCTTTGTTAGGGCTCACTCCAAAGCACTGGGTGCAGAAAAGCAAACTATCAAAGACCAGAAAGGTAAGGAATGAGAGTTTGGACTCAGAGCACTAGACATTACACCAAGTGTCCCTACTACAGGTGGGAGTTTCTCCTTTCCCTTTATAGGCAGATATCAGTTCTCACTATCGGGACGCTGCCTACAGAACTTCATTCTTCATGAGAAAACTGGAAGGAAATTCTTTCAGGGAAAAGAATAAGGCTTGGACCAGTTCCTGTAAAACCTGACTCATGGAAGTCAGTCCTTTACACAATAGACTTTTGAAAAATGCTTTTTAATAGCTTGCACATTTCAAAAATACAAAACTATTTGCAAGGGTGGATCCTGTTTCCAAAGAGCTATGTATCTAATTCTTTACTTTCAATGCTTTGAGCTCTTTGAGTCACAATAGATTTCCCCCTGTACTGGATGCAGAACCAGGCCCTTGCTCTTGCTTTGCCCCATAGGCCAACATGCCCATCCATTTCAGCATTTCTTGGCTACCCTCTCATAGACTTTAGTCTGTACCAATGGAGAACACTCATAAAGGTAATTTAAAAGCCTCACAGCCCAGCCCTGTGATGACAAAGGGGAATATTTTGTAATGGCATGGCAAGTCTACAGCAACAGAGCAGCATCCACCACACTGCTGCTCTCATAATGCTGGCCAACCAGCATTGCTAAGAGAGGCATCCTAAAGGAGTTTTTGCTTAGTACCTAGATGGTACTAACAACCCTGCTAGGGGAAATCCTGTGCTGTTTCTATGAGAAGCTACAGAGAGCCTCAAAGAGTCTACAGATTTTGATTTTAAATTCAAAAGAATTCAGTTTTATATACCTTACTCAATGAATATTTGAGATCTAAAATCCTAGAATAAAGTAAGATAAGACCGTCTTGAAGTCAACAAAAATGCTTTCAAGAGCAGCCGTGTTTTTTTCCGTGTCACTGAATCCAATTCTGATTTAGCCACAGGCACAATTTTACTTTATCTCAAAACCAGCTCTGATTAAAGTGAATGATCCTGATGGTTTCTTGCCTCCTTTTTCCTGGGAGAGAAACACTGATCACAAGTGATTAACAGCACAACAGATCTATCTGTTCTAATAAAGAACCTTCTCTTTGCACCAGATACACAAGCATCCTGCCCCTAGCATGTCTCTAGGACAGCTTTAGAGCACAGCTCTTTCGAAACACCAAAAGGTGACAGCTCAGTTGTACCCTTCACTCCCACATGAGAACATTCCAAAGATCAGGTTCAGCCCTCAGTGACCGCCAGGCAATGAGAGCAGACTGGCTCTCCCTCATGCATTCACAGGCATGTCTGGTTTTAATTTCTTCAGCAACTGTAGTTCCTTCTTTCTAGCTTTCCCAGGCAGACTAGCTTGAGCTAAATCCCAATCCTAGCTTAGTGTCACTTAGAAGGGTGAAATAAAAATGAGCTGGTGATGGAGCAGAGGGATGGCAGCCAATGCGTGCCGGGCATGGGATCGGATGTTGCTGACGTCAGGCCCCGAAGGCTGCTGTGCCATTTCCAGCAGGTACAGCCACTGTGCAGGGCCCCAGAGAGACAAGCCCATGGACTGGGCTCTGCCAAAGGTAGTTCTGGGATGCTTTCTTGACTGTGCAGAATTGTTTTTTGAAAAGGTGACTTGTGACTTTAACTGAGCTGACTCTCTGAAATTCAAAGCGCCTCCAACACCCAGGCGGACAGGAAAGCTGGCAAGTGTCTGCAGTCCAACGCTGCTGTGTTTCTTTTAAAGTCTCTCGTAAAAAATCCTGGGCTATATTGGTCCTCAATTTAACTGCAGTGGAGTAGGCCGTGACTTCAATGAGATACACACATTCCCCAGTCAGGTTTTGAATAAAAAATTTTACAAGTTTACATGATCTAAGAGCCACCGAGCCCTGTGTGTGAGGGTTTTCAGTGGCACTGATTCAGGAGGAAAACAGGAAGAATGCCTCGGTTATCCAAGTGCTATATCCTGTGCAGTACCCAGTCAAGCAGGCTGTTTCTTCTCTGGCTGCACTATTTGCATACAAAATTAACCTGCCAGTTAATTAAACTCTAATTTTCACTTTTAAGGCAGATGCCACTTAGTCTAAGAATGGCTCCACAACTTATTTCTTCCAGTATTTTCCAAGAGCTTCAAACTACATACTTAAGAGCACTGCAGGTTTAAATGCAGCATTACATCTACCTTACTGTTACAAATAATCACAACTACCAAGTACTCTGATAAAGTCAATTTTAAGTCCCTCAGCACTTTCACGGGCATGTTTACTAGCCTTCCTTCTGATGCTCTCAATCTACTCTCTCTCTACACTGTGACAAGCAGAAAACAGATCAGAGGATTTCCAAGACAGTTACTCAGCTTCAAAAAGGCTGATGTACAGTAGATACCCTGCAAACTGTAATATAAAGCTCTACAAAGTGTCATTGCTATGGAAACATGCAAGTAATCTGTGGTTAGGCCAGCTAACATTTTTAATGACATAGTCCTTGAGGAGAGAAGGGTTTTCCCTTTGGAGATATAGATGAAGACTTGGAATGAAAATGTAGGCTAGCTTTGTTGAA